ACCAAAGTGTGAGCTGTGGTTAATTTCTCTAGGTTGGAAAATGTGATAATAACAGTATTCGGAAAAGCCACCAGGCGATCTCTTCCCCATGAAACCAAAGTCTAAGAAATGCTGCCTCTCCTTGCAGAAGATGTCAATGTCTCAGCGAAAGAGGGCACTGAGCAGGGTCCTTTAACTTTTGTAGTTGGGAGAGTGACAAATGAGAGCAGATGAAGAGGCCAAGTGACACAAAAACGTTCAAAGAATATAAAGCATCATCTGGAATTAAGACACTGAACAGGATAAGAGACAAGATCACTTACCTGGGATATCTTTGATTTTATAAGTAGTAAGGTAACCTACAAATTCTGGTTTTCTCCTGTCTGTTTTCGATGAGGCACCCATGCTTGCGGGGCATTTTTCACCAATGAGGAACTGGCCTTAAGTATGCGCTAAGGCCAAGAGCTTATTTCTTAGGACTTCTTTTCAATTTAACTTAATTTAATAAGGTTAGGCCAGGTGGCTTGGAAAATCAACCAACTGTGCTTTGTTATAAATCTTTAGCTAAAGAGGTTAATTCAGAAAAAAAAATTAAATTATTCCAACTGTTGTCCTGATCCTCAATCTTAGGTTATGTGTATAGATACATTATTATGTGAATAACAATATTTTAAGTTTACAGTGCGTTACAGTTTTGAGTCTGGTGCCTTAGACCGCTCAGCCAATCGTCAGTATCCTGATACAGTGCATTATAGTACAATTATATGTGTATATATATGTATATATGTATGTATATATATATATATATACATACGTATATGTGTATATACATATGTACATACGTATATATATGTATATATATATACATTTTTTAAGGAAAATTAAATTCAATGATGTTTATGGCTTTCCCAATTCCACTACTAGAAATTGGATCTGACCCCCATGTTGTCTTCTGATAGCTCTGATTCAAAAGGACACCTGTTACTTATTTCTATTTTTGAAAAATCTGACCACTCTATTGATGGTCTGGGACACTCCAGATGAGTGAACACCCTGGGCCTTCCACCTATGGAATCTGCACTGGCTTCTGGTTCCCCATGCCTCGCTTGTCTGTGGATTCAGCAAGGCCACCGAAAAATGTAATAATTTAAATTCCTCCAGATCAGGCTAACTCCCTGAAAAAGGTAGGAAGCTAAAATCCCATACAGTTCCCCACTATCCTCAATGCCCCACCAAGATATTCCTTGCTGGACGCATTTTGTGAGTGCCTGTGAACAACCTTCTCATTTTTTTCCCACCCGTGTGCTTGATGTCACATGGGAGAGTCACAGACCACTGCCACTTCTCTCAGTGCCCTCCTGGGGTGTCATATCTGACAAGGGTGCCCTTGCTCCGTCCTTCATTTACCAACCTGGGAGGTACCAGAGTGGCAGAGAGGAGGAGAAGTTTGTACAAATGACTATACTTGGAGATTAAGAAGGAGCCAGCCCAACTGTGTAATCTGCCAACGTCAACTGCTAAGAAGCACGTTAGCCCACGTGTCCTTGAAGGAGGTCTGAAAGGTTCTTTAATGGGATCCAAATTTGCTTTTGGGAACCCTGACCCTCCCTGAGCTTCCCTGCCAGGCCTGAGACCGTAAGGAGCAGGTAGTCAGGTAAGTGTGCTTGGCTCACCTGTTCTCTGCTTCTCTTGGGCACGTAGACATCAAAGCAGAACAGCTTAGCTCCCTTCCCTCAAGGCTTGTCCAAGAAAATAATGCCTCAGCAGATTTCCTCTCTGTTGGGCTCAGACCTGAATCCACAGGCTGAGCAGGGAACTAATATTTGAAGTCAGACACCAAGCGTTCCCCAGTTCCCAACCTTCCCCTTACGCACTCTGGAATGCACACACCCACGTGCTCAAAATCTTCTTCTTCTTTTTTTTTTTTTTAATATTTGTTTATTTATTTTGATAGAGAGAGAGAGAGAGAGAGAACATGAGTTGGGGAGGGACAGGGAGAGAGGGAGACAAAGAATCCCGAGCAAACTCCACCCTGCCAGTGCAGAGCGGGACATGGGGCTCGAACCCACAAACCGTGAGATCGTGACCTGAGCCAAAATCAAGTCAGAGGCTTAACTGACCGAGACCCCCAGGTGTCCCACTGAAATTTTTCTTTAAGCAAAAACTTAGTATACAAATAACTTATGATGGCCACACCTATTAATCATCTATGGGCCAGGCCTCAGTCACAGCCAAATCCCACTTTTGGCTCAAGCCAAGACCTCTGCCTCATCTTCTAGCTGGAACAACAAAATTAACACACATGAGAAGATTAGTGTGCAATCCAAGATAGAATGAAATCAAATGCTGGATAAACTATATGTACTGTAAATGCTGTGGGGTTTCAGGGCCGGAAGATGCCTCTTACAGGCTAGTGTTGTTAAGAAAAATGGAATGTGAGGACAGACGTGTACTGAACCCTGAAGCAACGGTAAGATTTTCACAGGAGAGACCCCGTGTCGCATGAATTCTCCTTGAGGGATGTGTGACACGCACGTCCTTATAGAGGTCATTTCATGAGTTTTCTCATTTCAGACTTTTAATGGAAACCAACTTGCTGGCTTATTTTCTCCCTCCTGTCTTCTGGCACCAGAAAGATAAGCGTTTGAGTTCCAATTCCACGCTTTGATGTGTTGAAGTGATCCAGGCAAAAAGAGATGTGGTTCTTTAGACCAAAAGTAGAAGCTGCCAAGACACTTAAGCAGTTCCCGGAGGTTAGTATTTGCTGATGAATTAGACGTGAAGGTGAGGAAAAGAAAGGAGGTAACGATGATGGCAAAATTTTTTGCCTGATCGTTCGGAAGGATGAAAGACAGTCCCATGAGTGGGGATAAGGAAGGGGCAGGTTTTGAGGGCAGAAGGTTAGGAGTTCAGTTTCCAACACTTTCCGTTCGGTATCCACATGGCGATAAACCTAGTGTCCAGTTAGACAGGAGTTTGGAGTGCACTACAGAGGTTTGGGATGGTGACACAAGATTGAAGTCATCGGCTTAGAGATGGCCTTTAAACACACCTAGGAAATGGGAGGAGTTCGACAAGGGGCGAGATCCCAGGCTACCGAGTCCTGACGGAGGAGGCAATCCAACATTCTCAATAATCAATGTGTATCCCAGAATCTTGGGCTTCCCTTCCCTCGCAACCCCTCCAGCCTGTGCTCTGGGGTCCAGCGAGCGGTCATGTGGTGTCCTCTGGGCACTGAACAATTTTCTCGCGGCGTGTAGGATATGCACGGACTCTGCTACCTGGGCCAGGCACCGCTGCCATCTGCTGGGCACTCATGGGGCTTCTCCCGAGTACTGCTGCACCCTCTGGATGTCACAGTGTCCTACAGAGCTTGAGGTCCCGAGGTGGGTGGAATGACGGTGGTATTGTATGCGGGGGGTTAGAGGTTTACCAGAGCCGTGCAGTTTATGGCCCCAAATTTAAGAGCTGAAAACGCCAAATTCTCCCTCTCACAGCCACCTATCCGCACCACATCCACAGGACTCAAATTCTAGTGACAAACACCATGCCGACCTTGGACTTGTCCCTTCCCTGACCCCACAGGCCATGCTTATCTGTTTGACCTTCTCTTCCCTTGGAATGAATTCTCCCCCGGGAGGTTTCTTCATCCCTCATTCGAACAGACAGCTGGCAAATCCAGTGCAGTGGTTTGCCAGACACGTCTAGATATGCATCAGTCCTAGCAGTGGGGCTTTTAGGCATTTACGGGGCCGAAAGTTGCTTTTTAAATTTCAGAGGAGAACACATCTGACGTTATTAGTTACTCTGAAGTCCCCTGGCTTAGAGAGCTGTAGATCCGATTTAGGGTAACAGCGAGCGGTATCTTCCGGTGTGTACAACCTCTTTGATCATTAGCCCGAAGGAAGCAAACTTCAGTTGGCATTGACAATGACAGGGCACTTAGGGAGAGAGTCGTTTGCTACTTTTCCGGTTTAGAGGTGAAAGCGCGCCGCAGCCTTCTAAACGTTTAAGCGTGGGGGCAAATGGGACTGTTAAAATTGTGTGGTAATTCAGTTTAGTAGTGTTTTATTACGATCATGCTGTCTTTAGATTTTAAGTCGTGGCGAAAAAAAAAAATCATCTTACCAGTGGGCATCTACGTGTGCCGGGATGAATATCTTCTTTTTGAACAGGGCGGGCCCCAGAGAAGGCATTGTGTCTTTGTGTTTTGTACTCCCCACACTCTACGGGGAGCCACAAAGACAGCCTGGTGTTCTGCTGGTAAGCCCCTGTACCACTAGACAGAGTTTATTTTGGGGGCTAAGTGTCCTCTCTGACCAGTCCGTGCCAAGGATTTGATTTACTGACTGATTTAAGAGCTTACTGACATCAGTCAGTAAATAGTTTGACTCTCGCCTCTGGTTTCATATAGCTATTAACCCGTTGACTATTTGAATCTTATAGAATGATTTGCCGTATTACATATTACATTGAAAAATTGTAATAACCTCATGAGGTATAAAGAGGAGATGTGATGTTCATTAGTTTCATTGGAAACATAAGAAAACTCAAAGTCACAGTGCCCAGGCCTCAGATGATACCGGGAGAAGGTATTAACATCATCTTTCAAACTCAGGCCCTCTGACCCCCAGGAAGGTGCTGTCTCTAGCAGGAAGTCCTCCCTTCTTAAGGCTCTTCCGCTCTTTGGGTCATTATCCCTGTGGACTTTGATTTCTCCTCACAGTTACTCCAAAGGAAGAAAAGCCAGAACTGTGGTTGGTGCATTTCCCCCCCAGTATTTTAAAAAAGGTGCCATCTTCTCCTCCTTCTGGGTTTGCGTGTTTGTGGGGGGGGGGGGGGACGTCTTAGCCAAACGGAAAAACGAGGATATGAATTTATAGACTGATGTGCAGGTCAGAGGAGGGGAGTGTTTTGTGGGTGATGACGGGTGTATGAGGGATGTGAGGCTGTGAGCAGGTGTGTGAGAGAGTGTGATAGAGTCCAGTGATGTGAGACTGAGTAACATTTCCTCTCTGCAGGGTAATTTGCTATGGGACACTTGACACAGCAGGAAATGGGGGGAGCAGAAAGTGTAAGAACAGCTGGAACACCTGGAGAAATGCTATACTTGCACCGGATTGTGGATTCAACATCTTCATTTCGTTTGCTACCTGGTATTTGTTATCTCTCTTCTGATGTGTTAAGGTTGTTTTCGTTTTCGTTTTTGTTTTTGTTTTCCCTAACTTCATGCCAAGCTTCCAGAGGGAAGGAATGGTATTTTGCCTCATTTTATCCCTGCAATGTCTGGCCGGCCAGTGCTAGGAACCGTGTGTGTGTTTAGAACCCATTATTAATTGATTGATTCCTGCCGTTCCCTGTGGTCATATATCTTATGGCTCTGCAAGCTGTAGTTAAAAAAAAAAAAAAATTCAGGAGCCTCAGTAAGGCAAGTCAGTTAACAATCACTGCTTCTCTTAAGCTCTTAAAGAGTCCACACACGCTAATGCTGTCATTTGGATGTCCAAATAGATTTTATTAAGGCAAAAATGTAACAAAAATCTGAATAGACGTTTTGGGAGGTCTGACCAGAAGAGTCTCTCTCAAGAAGGTTTTGTTTATCTGACTTTAATAATTGTAGAGACTTAATCATTTCTTTTCTGAGATTTGCCCTATGATCCATCTCACCCGAGATTTTCATAATTATCATTTGCTGGCAGCAGAAACTCTTGGGATCGCGGGAGTAGCAAGGGGGCAAAGTCCCAGTGAAAAAGCACTTTTCAAGTCTCTGCTTGAGTCGCATTGGTTAGTGCCCTGTTGGCAACATCAAGCCCAGCCCCGGTTTATTGATTATGTGAACAAGTGTAGGCTGGCTGACCACATGGGGTCCATGTCATCCCAGCTGATAGCCAGCCAAAGCCCAGAAGCAGAGGCACCTTAGCTGAGTGACAGCTGGCCCTACTCACACAAATGAGCCCCAGTGAGACTAGCAGAAGAACCACACAGCTGAGCCCTGCCCAGATCGCCACTCTGCTCAACTGCGAGATAAATGCGTGTTGGTGTTTTAAGGTACAAAGTTTTTGGATGGCTGCACAGGAGAAGACAACTAAAACGGTGCTCACTAAAAATTTCTTGAATAGGGGGCGCCTGGGTGGCTCAGTCAGTTAAGCGGCCGACTTCCGCTCAGGTCATGATCTCGCGGTCTGTGAGTTGAAGCCCCGCATCGGGCTCCGTGCTGACAGCTCAGAGCCTGGAGCCTGCTTTGGATTCTGTGCCTCCCTCTCTCTCTGACCTTCCCCTGTTCATGCTCTGTCTCTCTCTCTCTCAAAAATAAATAAATGTTAAAAAAATTTTTTTTAATTTCTTGAATAGATAAATAAAATGAATAACAGAATTAATGATGGACAAATGAAATGAGCAAGGTGGTTATTTTATTCAGTGTTCTCATTCCACAAATAGACAAATTGAAGTCAGAGTAGCTAAATAACTTAGCTAATATTAGGCAACAAGTTAGCAGAAGGCCAGTACAGAATATCTATTATTCTTTTCTTTTAAAATCATATTGTCTCCCTAACAATACTGTAAGCTCCTTGAGATCAGGAATCTCTAGGGTTTTGATCAGCAGTGTCTCACAAAGTATTTTACGTGTTTCCTATTTATTTATTTATTTTCAAATTTCTTTCTTTTTTTTTTTTTAAAGTTTATTTATTTTGAGAGAGGGAGCACAAATGGGGGAGGGACAGAGAGAGAGGCAGAGAGAGAGAAACCCAAACAGGCTCCACACTGTCAGCACAGAGTCAGATGCGGGCCTTGAACTCACAAACTGTGTGACCTGAGCTGAAGTCAGATGCGTAACCGACTGACTGAGCCACTCAGGCACCCCTGTATTTCCTACTTAAAAATTACTTCTGAATATGGAATAAATGCACACAGCCTACAGGAGAAAAGGTACAAAGGCTCCAGCGAAAAGTCAATCTCTCTTCCACCCTTTTACCAAATTACCCAATGTTCCTCCCCAGAGGCATCCAGTGTCAAGTTTTTTTGTTTGCTTGTTGGTTTTGATTTGTTTTGTGCACTTGCGTATGAGGTCTGCCATGCATTTGGTGTTGATGGTGGTGAGTAAACTTCAGGGCTTCCTTTTTCCTCCCAGAGAATAGGGGGTGGGGGCCATAGAGAAAACCAGTCTTGAACCTCCCTCCCAGCCATCTGCCATACTATCTACAAAGCCGCACCATTTTAGGAGACAAAAGTTGATATAGAAGAGAATCAGGGCCGATTGGAATACTCAGGAGTCAGCATATATTCTGGGCTATCATAAACCATAACTATCCTAGTACAACTAAGGGAAACAACAGCAACCTGAAAACATAAAGGGTTCCCTGGACACTGGCCGAGATGCATGCCCTTAAATTGTGGGAGAGAAGTCAGTCTCAGATAAGGGGGACAAATTCAGTTTATTAATAATATGTACAACATTATTTTGGTCAAGTCCTTTGATGTGCTTTATCTCTCGTATTATGAAAACATGTACATGCCACACAGATTCCCAGTTATATTTCTCTGGCCAGCAAGCCAAACATTTTTACAAGAACATTTAACTTCTTATAAAAATAAAAAAAATAAAATTGACTTTCTTCCTTCCTTCCTCCCTCTCCCCCCTCTCTCTCTCTCTCCCTCTCCTTCCCTTCCTTCCTTCCTTCTTTCCTTCCTTCCTTCCTTCCTTCCTTCCTTCCTTCCTTCCTTCCTTCTTCCCTCCTTCTCTTTCTTTCTTTCTTTCTTTCTTTCTTTCTTTCTTTCTTTCCTTCTTTCTTCTTTCTCATTTTCCCTTAATACATTCTCCTCTTATAGTCACTGCTTCACACACACCTATTTGGGCATTTTCCTGCCAGAGATCTTGAAATGTCATCCCCCAGACCCTGTCTGTCATTTGATTTCTTTCAACTTTTTTTTTGTGGTTGGTGACCCTGTCCATAAAGTTGTCCCGTCCTAAAATGTTGGCCCGTTTCACCAAGATTTCACAGTCAAAATTTTAGAGTACACCTTCTTTTTCTGAAAGTATACTTTTCCTCTTTCTCCAGGGAACTGTAAGCTTTCATCAGCCATCTGACACATATGACTTTCCCCACCCTGTCTAGCCTTTCATTGTGATAGTCATCGCACAGGATTAAACTTTTTTAAGGTCCTAGTGGTCCAGTGTTTTCTGAAGATAAGAGAGCTGACTTTCTTTCTGTAGGTGCCCACGAAAATGGCTCCTTGCGTTTGCTCATTCTTGTCTACCCTGTTGCCTTGCGTTGGTATGTCTTCTCTTCGGAGGCTAACCAAAGGCATGACATAAGACATTTCTCCACAACAGAATTGTACTGTAGCACAAAATCAGAAGGTCCCTTAGATGCTACATTCTGGAAATTCCACGAGCCTTGGAAGTTGGGGAAATGGGTGGTTTGTTTTCAGTTCTCCCAATATCTTTTTTCTGTTGGGTCTCCTTCCCCTCGTCTCTCCAAAGTGCTCTTGCTGGTAAAATCTGGGACAAACACCTTCTCATGCAGTCGCGAGAAGGTGTTAGTAACTTAAGGAGAAGGGAGAGTATCCGATTCTCCAATGATGATTTCTTAGACACTATAGAAGCCAGAAGGGGAGATTTGTCTGGGCAAGGGTAGGGGCTCGCAGGTGCTCTCCAGCCCATCTAGTACATTCTCGCCTTCTCTACTTGCTCGCAAGGTGGCCCGATGGTAATATTTGTACTTAGGCCCAGTCTCGAGTCTGCCTTTTAGCCAGTGACTCTGCTTAATGACCTCTTCTCTTACCCTCACTACAACCCTCCAACTCCACCCTGCTCTGTCACAGTGGCCTCCTTCATATGAAGGTTGCGTCTTGTCTGTATGATTTTTCTCTGGCGGCCTTGGTGTTCAACTTCCCAGAACCGGAAGAAGAGGAGACAGAAGAACAATCCCCTCCTCGTTGAGAACTCATGCCAACAGAATTACCGAGTACGGAGTGGTGCCTTCCAGGTTCCCTCCCACGCACGCCTCAGGCTTCCAGCCCCGTTTCTGCACAGCCTGGGCCCTGCGTCAGCTTTGATAAGAGCCGGGCTGTAATCAGTGTGGCTGCAGCTCTCTGGCTCTGATTTCCCCTTGCGGCTTCTTCATTCCTGTTGATAATTAAAGGAAGCTTTTCCTGCCACGCTGAAGGCTATATAAAATAAGTTAATAAGTAATAAAGCAGCTGGCATGGGGCCAGGAACTTGATGCTTCTGGTATTCTTCCCATCCTTGTGGTATAGTTACTGGGGGGGAAGCCTGGCTCTCAGACTCAGCCTTTGGATTTGGACAGCTGGGAGAGTAAACTTTGCCTGGCACTCTGTTAAAAATGTCAGCTGCATGGAGAACTTTCTGTGATAGTGCTTCTAGGGCCTTGGGCTTTGAATGAGAAAGGCCATTGGTCATTCTTCTTATCTTCCTGTCTAGTCTTTCCTTTCACATCCTAGGTTTCTTAACTCCCTTTGTCATCCTTATGCTTGTATCCCTGCACAGCTCACTCCTGTTTCATTAGGTTTAAAATAAATACACTGGGGACTTGCTGGCCACGTGATACGTGTACTCAGCCGTCAACGCCTTCTCTGCCTTTTCGAGGCTGTACCCGTCCGCAGCACTACAGAGAAGTGTCTCGAAAGACTGCTGTTACTTTGGGGGCTGCTGCGTGTTCACTTAGGCTCTCTTGCAACGGCCATGGGTCATTTTCCTGGTGCTGGAGGCCTTGGATAAACTCTCTGTAACGAGGGTTAGGCTCCATCACAGCCCAGGAAACTTCCAGTTAAGTGTTTGGGCCTGGAGGAGTGGGGGTGACCGGTGAACCTGTTTTGATTAGTCACAGATGCTTTTCTTGCATTCAGTGTGCCTTTGGCACAGAGGGAGACAACAGTCGAGGCCATTATTCAGGTTCTTTGCGTTAAAAAGAATACTCAACGTCCCTTTCAAAGACGAAGGTGATTTTGGTTGTAAATAAGCCAAGATGTCGGTTTCAATGAATGAGTATAATCGATCCTTTCACCAGCTGCCCACATTGTTCTCTGGCAAAGAAAAGACACAAAAGGGCTGGAAGGGTAGTTCCAGGAGCGCCCCATAGCAATGCCCCCAAAGCAACCCCTCTGAACCTTCATGGCCCCCAAATACATTGGCTTCTAAG